AAAAAAAAAAAAAACTCCACCATGTGCCAAGCAATTACATCATAAAATAAATAAAATAAAATAAAACCAAACCACATCATGGGTTCTCATTTTTCTGCCCCTCCCCCAAACTCTGCATTCTTCAAGGCTCCTGGTTCTGGCTCAAGTGTCAGAAATAAAACCCTGATGTGAAACTGATCTGAAAGGCAGTGAGAAGGAGAGTTTATTTTTGTCAGGTGCCCCCTGGGTGGGATCTGATCTCTCTGAGGTCAAGGCTCTGTCCCTCATATTCAGAGCCTTGTCTCTGAGCATGGATGGACCCACAGGTGCTCTGTGAAAACTGGTTGAAAGAAGGAATCAATCTGGATGCCCCTGATTGCTACATTTTCCACAAGTAGAACCCCCCACTTAGAAAGCTGCTATTGAGTGTGAGGGGTGATGCACCCACCTGGCCTCCTGAACCCCAAGAGGCCTGGTCCCAGCCTTTAAAAGTGCTGTGGTTAAGGGGTGCCGGGAGATCAGATAGAGGTCTGCCTGCACCGATGGGTGCAAAGGTAATCTAGCAACAGCTACTGGATGGCTTCCAGGGAGGGGGCAGACAGACAAGTGGAAAAACTACTGCTCAAGTCCATAGGGGGCTCAGCAATGCAAAAACCTGCCTTCCTCCTGCTATGTGCTAGGCTCCGAGTGCAGTGAGTAAGTGCCATTGCTTCATTTTAGCTTCAACCCACTGTAAGAGAGAGAAGACATTGAGTGATGGGTACACGACCACATTGTCAGCCAGGGAGGCTGAGTGACTTATGCAAGCCCACAGTTAAACTGTGGCCAAGCCAGGAATCCAGTTCCCCCTTTCTTCCACTACTCGAGAAGCATCACAGCACCTAGCCTGTGCCCCCACCCCCAACTCTGCCTGGACTGTGGCAAAAGACCCCAACAACTGCAGTTTCCATGTGTCCAATCTGTGCCAGGTATGGGTACTGCCTTGTTTAAATTTCTTAACACCACCAAGGTGGGCATTTTGATTATGAACCCCATTTTACCCACAAGTAAACTGAGGCACAAGAGAATCACATGGCTAGGAGGCAAAGATCTACTAAGTCTTTTTTTTTTTTTTTTTTGTAGAGACGGAGTCTCACTTTGTCGCCCTTGGTAGAGTGCTGTGGCGTCACAGCTCACAGCAACCTCCAGCTCTTGAGCTTGGCAATTCTCTTGCCTCAGCCTCCCAAGTAGCTGGGACTACAGGCGCCTGCCACAACACCTGGCTATTTGTTTGTTTGTTTGTTTTTGTTGCACTTTGGCTGGGGCCAGTTTCGAACCCACTACCCTCAGTATATAGGGCCAGTACCCTACTCACTGAGCCACAGGCACTGCCCAGATCTACTATGTCTTGATGATTCAGCTGAATCCAACCTCCATGTTCCCCCTTGCTCACTGCACACCTCCTCACTGGTGCCTGGCATGCCTCCTTCCATCATGTGTTACCAACAGGCCAGGTTAAGCTCTTCTAAGAAGAGCCTTCCAGCTGTAGACTGTCCCATGGCTGGGTATCCCCACCAGACTCCCTGGACTGGGATGTTTGTGTAGGTCTACCTGAGTGACTGTGTCCACCCTAGCCTGGGGCAGGTCCACTCTCCTAAATCCTGGAAGCCAGCACAGGGTAGGCCCAGAAAGGACACACAGGAAGACCTGATGTCTGTCTCTCCCAACCCCAGGCATACAGCCTCAACATCTGTACCAGCAACCAGGTTTTCCTCTGGGAAACTGCTCCTTGCACAGTGTCAGTCCCTGGGATTTGGTTAGCCAAAGACAAACAGGAGAGCCCAACTGATTCAGTGGGGCTCAGACCAGAGACCTCTTACTGTTATTCCCCTGGGCCTTCTACATTGGTAAGATATAAGCCTGGGGTGCTGGACTACCTTTGTCCCCACTGGGGAGAGAACCTAAAACAAGAATAAAGCTAACATGGGAAAAAGCAACTGAGAAAGAATGAGAGAGAGAGTCCTGATGCCACCAACAGATCTTCTAGATATAGCCACATCAGAAGCCTTGTTACCCTCCTTTTCTTCAGCTAGTTTGACCTAGGTTTTAAGTCAACCAAAACAGACCCTGTCTAGCACAATGTGTGAGAGTTTGGGCAAGATACCCTGTGAGAATGAGCACGTGACCAACTCCAAACCAAAGCCCGGTGCTCCTGCATCCCACTGAACACCTGCCCATTGCACTCCTTTACCTCTCTTGTCCAGCACCTGAGTCAGATCCTCCACCAGCACAGCAGCCTCCTCTCCACTCCTGGGGCCCTGCAAATGCATCCAGGCCTGCATCTTGGGGGGCAGCGCACCCAGGAACTGCTCCAGCACCAGAAGCTCCAGGATCTGCTCTTTTGAATGCACCTCGGGCTGTAACCACTGGCGACACAGCTCTCGAAGCTGGGTTAAGGCCTCATGTGGGCTGGATGCCTCCTTGTAGCAGAAGTGCCGGAAACGCAGGCGTGCAGCCTCAGGATGAGCAGTGTGGACATGGCTAGATTCCCGGCCCCGGGAGAGCCTAGTCTCCTCCTCCTCCTCTTCCACCTTCACTTGAAGGTATCTGTCCTTTTCCCAGAGCCCTGAGCTCAGGAAGCACTTGGGGATGGCCATCACCAGCAGCACTCAGTGAGAGAGAGGAGGGCTAGAGCCTTGGAACTGGATCTGCAGCAATGTCAGAGCTTCATCGTCATGTAGAACCCAGGTTCCTGCCTCATGCCTGCAGAGAAGGGCAAACACAGGCTTGAGGCCTGTGAGATGTGAGTCACTCTCACAGAGACACAGTCAATGGTAATAATCAGGACAGCACACATTATTGAGCACTGATCTAAATGTTTGCACATAATACTTCCTTTAAAACTTACAACAGGGCTGAGCACGGTGGCTCACACCTGTAATCCTAGCTCTCTGGGAGACTGAGGCAGGTGGATTGCCTAAGCTTACAGGTTTGAGACCAGCCTGAGCAAGAACAAGTCCCTGTCCCTAAAAAATAGGCATTGTGGCAAGCACCTGTAGTCCCAGCTACTCAGGAGGCTGAGGCAAGAGAATCTCTTGAGCCCAGAAATTTGAGGTTGTGACTTGGCACCTGTGGCTCAAGTGGCTAAAGCGCCAGCCACATACACCTAAGGTGGTGGGTTTGAATCCAACCCAGGCCTACCAAACAACAATGATGGCTGCAACCAAAAAATAGCTGGGCGTTGTGGCGGGCGCCTGTGGTCCCAGCTACTTGGGAGGATGAGGCAGGAGACTCGCTTGAGCCCAGGAGTTGGAGGTTGCTGTGAGCTGTGATGCCACAGCACTCCACCCAGGGGGAAGCTTGAGGCTGTGTCTCAAAAAAAAAAAGAAAGAAAGAAAGAAAGAAATTTGAGGTTGTTGTGAGCTATGATGCCACGGCACTCTACCAAAGGTGACAAAGTGAGACTCTGTCTAAAAAAAAACCCAACTTACAACAAACTCAGGAAGTGGGAACTTTCTTCCCATTTTATAGAAACACAGACAGGGAAAAGATTTGCCCAGAGTCTCCCAGCTAGTGAATGATTACTGGGGAGCTGAGCTGCAAACACAGGCAAAGCCATGGCCAGCCTGCTTAAGTATGCTCTTCCCTCACAGAGCCAGGTCTCCCTCCCTATCTCACACACATTCTCCAGGTAGCCACATGGTCATCCCCTCACTTTATTTGCTTATTATTTTGTACTGTCTGAGATTGATACTTACATAATTGACTTTCCTATTTTCTTTTTATTTTTTATTTCTTCATATTTTGAGACAGAGTCTATCTCTAGCCTGGGGCTAGAGTGACACGGCCTCAGCCTAGCTCATAGCAGCCTCGAACTACTGGGTTCAAGTGGTTCAAACTACCTCAGCCTCCCAAGTAGTTGGGACTACGGGCACCTACCATGATGCCTAGATAATTTCTTTTTTATTTTTAGTAGAGATGGGGTCTTGCTCTTTCTTGCTCAGTCTGGTCTTGAACTCCTAAGCTCAAATGGTCCGCACACCTCAGTATCTCAAAGTGCTAGGATTACAAGCACAAACTATAGTGTCCCCCCCATCCCCACTTTTTTTAGACAGGGTCTCATTCTGCCACCTATGAGTGCAGAGTGCAGTGATGTAATCATAGCTCATTGCAAGTTCAAATTCCTGGGCTCAAGCAATCCACTCACCTCAACCCAAAGTCCTAGGATTATAGGCATGAGCCACCACACATGGTCCCTTTCCTCTTTTTTAATGCATATATTTAAGGCTATAAATTTCTCTCTAAACACAGCTTTAGTTACATACCATAAGTTTGTTCATTATTATTATTTAGTTCAAAATATTTTCTAATTTCTGTTGTGGTTTCTTCCTGACTTATTGGTTACTTAGAACTCTACTCCTTCATTATCGAACAACTGGAGGTTTTCTAGTTAGCTTTTTATTATTGATTTTCAGATTAAGTCTGTTGTGAGCAGAAAACATGCTATGATGGCTTTCAATTCTTTTTTTTTTTTTTT